GCTATCCGCTCTGTGCACAGGGTAGATAGGGACGGGCAACTTAGACATTGGCTATCTAAAATGAGAGGGCAATAAAGGCACAAAGTGACTGGCTGACAAGGTTTCAAGAGGGAGCTTAGTTTAAGAGGGTTGCGGGAAAGAAAGAGTCCCCACTGAATAGCTATCATCTTGTCTAGATGGGCATGGTGAAAAGAGATGGGGATAAGATTCATAAGATTCAATAGTGAATAACTGTTATCATGATTAATCGCGACTGTCACACTTGTAAAGGTAGAAGTTTTGTAACAAAAAAAGAGGAGTAGTTAGTCTTGCAGTCCAGAAACAGAGGACCCTAGGACCATCAATCAAGAGAGGAACGCACAAGCAGAATGTGGGACCTTATCCAGAGAAGCAGCAGTGCCAGAGATGGAGGCAGAGATGGAGGCATGGAAAGGGGGAGCAGCTGTGGACTCTAGATTCATGGACTAAGAAGAGAAGGACTAAGAACTGGTGGCCAGTAGACTTGCAGAAGGTGCCCTTTGGAGATGTAAATTATTATACATGTCTGAGTGGGGTTTTTTGTTTGTGTGTTTTTTAAAAAGCTAAAGTGGATAGAGAGAAATACTTTTAACTGATGGTATATGGAGGGGATTATAATCAATGTAATGAAACAAGTTATATGAATTGTTGAATGTGAAACTGATGGTGTGCCCTGTAAACTTTCACTCAAGCCACAATAAAAACCTTAAATTAAAAAAAAAAAAAGAATGCCTTTTCCCACCGAGAACCCTGATAGGTCAAGTGCTTAGCCTCTTCTCAGCCCGCCCTTTATTTCCACCAGTCTGTCCGCCATCTTGCGCTCATGGGCGATGACTGAGTAATCCTCTGAATGACCTGACATTAGGATCCCAGGTAGCTGGGAGTGGGTTTTTGGGGTAGGGCTAGACCCTAGGTAACTCCTCAGATGCTCATAAATGTAGTTTTCTGTAATCTAAATAATTCACAACTGATGTCCTCCCCCACATTTCTAGCTTACCTCTTACTTTCCCTCTTCCCAGTAGACTGGCTCAGGACCAAGGGATCATTTCTGTGCCTTCACACACTGTCTCCTCTGCCCACAAGTTCCTCTTCTTCCAAATCACATGCTCCCACTCCCAGATCCCGTAATTCCCACTTATCCTTCCAAACCAGTCCCGACACCATCTCCTCCAGGAAGCCATCCCGAACCATGTGGGAACGGCCTGAGGTCTGTCTCCCCTCGGGAGTCCCATGGAAGCCTCTCTGGGTTCTACGCTCAGCATGCTGTGTGGCTGCACAGGCTCATCAGTTACTAGAAGGCAGGGATTCTACTGTGTCCTTTTGTTCACTCCCAGTGCCTAGCACTGGGCCTAGCGTGTAGCTGATGCCACAACCTTTATTAAAAGAATGAATGAACACAAGGTCAACCTGAGACCTAGCAGTTCAAAGGCCGTTAAAAAGCTGAGCAGGTAAACGACCTGAAGGCAGCGCTATCCTACATAATCCAAACTCACTGCTCCTCACCTAGTCTTACCTTCAGGGTCTCAACGCTACACCTGGAATATCAGCAGCAGGAAGGAAGGACTCACAGAACTAACCTACTGTCTTGTCGTTAAATATCTTGGGGAAGCCTCGGTTAGGGTACTTTCCCCGGAGTTGCCAGACATCAAAGAAAGCCTTCCAGTCAATGTAGTCCACCAGCTTCTGCAGGTCATAGTCTTCAAAGACTCGCGTCCCGATGAACGTGGGCTTCACTACAGGAAGGAAGGAAGGGTTGTCAGTACTGATGCTGGGCTCTGGCGCTGAGCAGATGCAGCCCAGGCACTGCCTACGAAAGGCCTCCCCCTAGTTCCCAGTTGCTCTGTGACGCCCACGTTCTGACTCACTCCTGTCACGTGTAGGAGTTGTTTCATAAAGAAGAGAACTTTAAATTATCTCAGAAAAGGAGTAATTCTGCATCAAATCTTAAATAAACTTATATTCCCCATGCAGATGACTACCAGCCTTGAAAACGCCTCCCTCAACCCTTCCACCCTAAACCCCTTGCCAAAGGAGGGTGGGAAGAGGAACAAAATGAAGAAAAAAAAAAAAGAAAGAAAGAAAGTTAGTTAGAGTAAATTAAGAAAATAATAAAGACCACTGCTGAGAGACATGACAGTGCTGCAAAAAGTTCAAGGAAAATTTACATTATCTTTTAAATCCATTTTTCAACAAGTTTTTTGAGGTCCCCTCATGTAGACAAAGTCATTTATATAGTTTAAAAACACAAACAATATGTTGTCTATTGCTAAATACGCACATAGTATAAAGAAATGCATAGAAATGGAGCATCAAACTCAGGGTTGTGATGATTTCCCTCAGAGGGAGAGGAACACACAGGAGACTTCCACACATATGTGTTAGGATTGTGATTTTAAATGGATCGTGAATTACTTCTAACCTGACTAGTACGTATACCTGGATGTCAATATACTATTCTTTATACTTTTCTATAAATTTTAAACATATGAGGGGGTTTCCAAAATTTTGTGGGAAAATTCCATTATTTTCAATTCCATTTCTCCAAAGCCTTTTTGAAGGCCCCTTGTCTCACACTTTGAATGACAGTAAAGACTTCATTCAGTGTCAGCTGGTGCTACTGGGCTTTCTCAGGACACTGAGAGCAGCTTCAGTGCCCGGCTCAGGGCAGGCAGGTAAGCAGATGCCTTATGAATTTCAGAGTCCTGATCTGTGAAATGGGAATCAGATAACTTCCTACACCTCCAATCTCAGGCGTTCTGGGACAAAATATTAGCTTCAAGAGTATTTTTCTTGCCGTAAGAGGACAAAGTCAGAGAGGTGAGTGCATCCGACTGTTTTGAGTCATGACTGGAATCCTGAGCAGCCATCTCAGGTGCACCTACTGGTCTCTGTGTCCACAGGAAAGAAGAGTGATAAGAATGAAGGTATCTGGAAACAATGAGTCCAATGAACTAATGGGCCACGTGCGCATCAGTCTCCAGGACCCTGAAGCGAGAAGAACTTAGATGGTGCCCAGCTACCCTAACCTACAGTAGAAGGTCCTGGAGAGTGTGAGGAAATGTGAAACAAAACTCCAAATCATAAAAAGATCAGATGTGCTTGGTGGATGGAGACTGGTGGAACAGGACACTATGGTCCTTGGTCACTCTGAAAGCCTGGAACTGAACTCACCCTCATGACTCAGTTTCCCAAGCTATTGCTATAGAGAGGAGGGAGGTGCAAAACCACTAATGAGGTCTGTACAGCATAACACGTTCAACCATTCGAGATCAAAAGAGCAACATTTACCTAAGGACAAAACTGAGAAGGGTTGAGAAAAGAAGAAGGAACGGAAACAAGAGCCCCACGGAGGAAGTGGGGTTAAGTGATGTTAGTGACAGTAACCCATTAAGGGGATTACAATCACTGAGATGAAAAAAAGGACTCAATTTGCTGGATGTAAAACTGATGACTTTTAATTCCACAATTGAAAGTAGAGAGAGAAAAAAAGGAAAAGTGTACACAGCTTGTGAACTGTGCCTGAAATTCTAATTTTTTTACACTGGATGAAAGAAATTCTTTCCCATTTGTCCTTTGACATATATATTTTTTATATTTATTTCTTTTATTATGAACTGAGTGATAGTTTACATAGAAGAATACTGGCTTTACACCATAATTTCATTGCAATGATTACAATTCAACAGTATTTGCTTCTATTCCCTCTGTTTTTCTTTCTTTTTGGGGGGTGGGGAGATGTACACAAAAACCCTCAGGAATAGATAATAATTTAAACAACCAAAGGGCACATTCTGGCCACTAGCACTCAGTCCCTCTCTTTCCATGAACCTAGAGTCCTCAGCTGCTCCCTCTCTCCATGTCCCCATCTATGCCTCCATCTCTGGTGTTGCTGCTTCTCTGGATTGTGTCCCACATTCCACTCATGCTCTTCTCCCTTGATAGTCCTAGGGTCCTCTGTTTCTGGACTGTAAGATTTAACTATCCCCTATTTTTTTTTTTTTTTTACTATCCCCTATTTTTGTTACAAAACTTCTACCTTTACAGTTGTGACAGTCACAATTAGTTTTTATAACAATTACTATTGAATCATAAGAATCTTATCCCCATCTCTTTTCACCAGACCCGGCTAGACAAGATGACAACTATTCTGTGGGGACTATCTTCCCCTGCATACTCTGAAACTAAACTCCCTCTTGAAAACTTGTAAGCTAGTCACTTTGTGCCTTTATTGCCCCTTCATTTTAGGTAGCCAATGTCCAAGTTGCCTATCCCAGATCTACCCTGTGTACAGAGGGGATAGCATTGATATTTGATGTGAAGACTCCTTCCGTCTCTGTTGGTATTTTGAGCTACTACATCCATAAGTATAAAGGAGCTCTGGTAGCGTAGTGGTTACGAATCAGGCTACTAACCTCAAGGTCAGCAGTTCAAAACTATCAGCTTTTCCGTGGGAGAAAGATGAGGCTTTCTGCTCCTGTAACAATTTATAGTCTCGGAAACCCTGTACAGGGTCACTATGAATCAGAATGGACTCCATGGCACACAACAACAACAACAAACATCCACAAGTACAGGTCAAGTTCATCAAATTGTAGCAATTTACCCTGTTTCCTTTATCAAAAATTATTTATCTTCCTCTAGTCAAGTTCTGATTATCAAGCCATCAAGGCTAGGTCAAATGGGCACTATCTGCAAGTTTGGGTGTTCTTGTGCATCTCCACTTACTTCATATCAGCTGGCAGCTTCTCAGCTCTAGCCCTCTGTGGCTATGTCCTTGTCCATGGGCTCAGGAGTCCCCAGGTCTCACCACACTTTGGACCAACCAGCCCTTCCTCTTCTGTGTATCATCTCCAGGTCAATGGGAGGCTACAGAACACGGCTGAACTCAGCCCATTTCTTCATTGCTGCCTTTCCCCCTCGTCCACTCACCAGTAGACCAACGTGCTCGTCAGCAAGCTTACATGCCTATTCATGTGTTCCCTCTGAGTTTCAGTCTTGGAGGGGGTTTGTCCTGAAAGGAATTAATTGCTTGCCTTGATGGCTCCCCGGTGCTTTGGCATCTTTTTATTACCCAAAACAATCCCTTCTTTGCAAACATTCAATTATGCTTTCTGGATAACAAAAAAAATTGTATATTCCCCTTAGTACAGAAATTAAAATTAAAATCCCGATATCCTTTTGATTCAAGTTGATTCCTGCCTGGAAGAGCAGGCAGGAACATGCTGCTTCATAGACCCTGAAGGACTTTATTCTTGATTCTGCTTATCTGCCAGAGTTTAAGGTTAATGTAAGGTATTAACACAAAAATCTTTGAGAAAATATCCTAACAGCAAGAATCATTTCCACACCCTCCACACACAGAGTAGACAGGGATGGGCAACTTGGACATTGGCTACCCAAAATGGGGGCTGGGGGGCTACAAAGGCAAGAAGTGACTGGCTTACAAGCTTTCAAGAAGGAACCTAGATCCAGAGGGCCTGGAGGAAGGTAGAATCTCCAGTGAGTAGTATCCAATCTGTCTAGGCGGGGCTGATGCAGTGAAATGCAGACGGGTCTCTTGTGATACAACAGTGAATAATTGTTATCAGGACTGACTGTGAGGGTTGGAAATGTAAAAGTAGACATTTTATAGCAAGGAGGGGAGTGATTAACTTTTCAGTCTAGGAGCGGAGGTCCCTAGGACCATCAAGGGAGAAGAGCAGAGACCGGGACCCTACCCAGAGAAGCAGTGATGCCTGAAATGGAGCCAGAGATGATGACGTGGAGCAATGGAGCAGCTGGAAACTTTAGATCCAGAGAGAGAGAGTGACTGTGTGCTGAAGACCTGGGGGGCCCAGGGGAAGGATTGCATGGAGGGGATTGTAACCATGGCAATGAGACGATATACGATAGAATGAATGTAAAACCAATGTTCTCCCATGTAAACTATCACATAATTCACAATAAATTATTAAAAAAAAAAAAAATCTTTGAGAAAAATAACCCCATCTTCTCCCTCTATCTACTTATGCAAATTCTGTGAGATTGGCTCATCCTCAGAAACATTTCTGAGGGAGCTCCTCAGGGGACTCGATGGCCCTCAGGTGGCAGATGCACAGCCTTCCCATAGACTCTCACTGGTGACAAGTGTCACCACGACCACCCTCGTACAAACCAGTGGATGTGTCGGAGGTTTGACTTAGTCAAAAAGAAGGTGCCCTTGTGCTGTTACTTTACCTTCATAGCGAAAGGGAAGGAAGTAATAATTATTAGTTAGGGACGTACACCAATTTATAGTTGTCAAAGGTTTCCACATAATATCCAATTGTGTTCTCCTGCTATTTCCATAAAGTAACTCCTTCCTTACACATTAAACATTGTAAGACGAAACGAGAGGAGATGCACAAGAACGCCCAAACTGGCAGATAGTACACATCTGACCTAGCTTCGATGACTTGATGATCAGAACTTGACTAGAGGAAGATTTTAAAAAAAGTTTTTGAAAAGGAAACAAGTGTAAACTGCTACAATTTGATGAACTTGAACTATACTTATGGATGTAGTAGCTCAAAATACCAACAGAGAAGGGAGGAGTCTTCACATCAAGTATCAATGCTATCCCCTTTATACATAGAGTAGATGTTGTTGTTGTTGTTAAGTGCCGTCGAGTTGGATCAGACCCATAGCGACCCCGTACATGGTTTCTGAGGCTGTAAATCTTTACGGGAGCAGAAAGCCTTATCTTTCTCCCACGGAGCAGCTGGTAGTTTCGAACTGCTGATCTTGAGGTTCACAGCCTGATTCGTAACCACTACGCTACCAGAGCTCCTTACACAGGGTAGATAGGGACGGGCAATTCAGACATTAGCTACCTAAAATGGTGGGGCTATAAAGGCCCAAAGTGGCTGACTTGCAAGTTTTCAACAGGGAGTTTAGTTTAAGAGTGTGTGGGGGAAAGTAGAATCCCCACTGAACAGTTTTCATCTAGTCTAGACGGGTCTGGTGAAAAGAGATGGGAATAAGATTCTTATGATTCAATAGTGAGTAACTGTTATCATGACTAACTGAGACTGTCACAACTGTAAAGGCAGAAGTTCTGTTAACAAAAATGGGTGAGTAGTTACCTTACAGTCTGGGTACAGAGGACCCCAGGACCATCAAGGGAGAAGAGCACGAGAGGAATGTGGGACCCTATCCAGAGAAGCAGCGACACCAGAGATGGAGGCAGAGATGGGGACATGGAGAGAGGGAGCAGGATACTCATGGGAAGAGAAAGGTTGTGTGGTGGCAGTCAGGAGGCAGTCTGGTGGAATGTGCCCTTTGGTTGTTTAAATTATTATCTATTCCTGAGTGCTTTTGTGTACATCCCCCCCCCCACCAAAAAAAAACACAAAAAACAGAGGGAATAGAAGCAAATACTTTTGAATGATGATGCACGGAGGGGACTGTAATCATTGCACTCAAATGATGAGTGTAATACCAATGTTCTCTCATGTGAACTATCACTCAGTTAACAATAAAAACTTAAAAAAAGCAAACAAAACAAAACAAAAAACTGTCAAACATGGAAGTAAAATGATCCATCCTACAGTAGGCCCAGGCCTCCCGACTCCCAGTCTAGAACACTTGCCACTAAAGCCATGCTGAACTCAGCTGACAGGGTGTCACAAGCAATGAATGCTGGCTTGAGAGATTACCTTAGAAATATGGATTCAATTACTACGATCCCTGTTCAGCCTGGCTCTGCTTTGCATTTGCATCGCATGCATCTCTGAGCCTATAAAAACCTCTTACACATTCTAGTCCTTTGTGAACACCTATGTAAGGTTCATGAACACCTGTGTACAGTTGGAAAGGTGGCTCAAAATTGAAAAGGAAAGAAATGAGAGCAAGGGCAGCAGGCAGACAGAATGAATGAGAAAGCAGGATTCTGCCTTTGCTGAAATGCTTTAAAGTCTTCTAAGTGCCCAGACATCTTCAATGGCAGGCGTTTCATGTTTGTGTCTGAGTCCCACGGAGAGCCTGGGCACCTGTTAGAGTAGTACCCCAGCAGGTCTACGGAGCTCACTCCTAAGCTGAAGGAGGCCCACTCACATACAGTACAAAGGAACGAGTACGGTTGAGAACACAGACTGGAGAAGTCATCTTAGTAACCTGCCTTTTAAGTCATTTCACTTCCCCAAACTCAGGTTCTTCAAATAATGATAGAGATCGCACCCACATTCATGAAAGAGTAGTCTCAAAGACCAAGGGAGCCGACATGGGTAAATCTCAGCAGCAGTTGGCACACAACTGGCTCTGTGGATATTATGATACCTATTTCCTTTTATTTGTGATGACCACTGTCACCATCGTTAGATAGAATTAGAAGCTAGTTTGATTGTGCAGCCAGACAAGTGCACACATCTCTCCAGCACCAGTCAGCTGGCCCACGCAGCCTCCCTCGAGCCAGCAGCCACACAGACCTGGGCGAGGTTCCGACAGCCAATCAAGACGGAGACCATTTTCTCGGGCTTTACTTAAAGTTAAGTATCTTCTGTCCTGTTTCAAAGAAAAAAAGCTGTTTATTTGGTCTCTGAGCTTCTCAGCTATTCCTATGAAAGCTAGCACATAAGCTTTGAAAGAAAACAAATGTTTTCATGAATGAAAATCATGATCTGAACAACAGTTTGCTTTTCCTTCCGCTGTGGCCTCATTCAGCACCTGGCAAATATTAAGGATTGAATGAGCATCCACTCCACACTGATATATAAACCCGAGGCTGACTGCACAGCCCTAACTGTAAGGAAAGACGTACTGGTGGGAGTGGTCTGCCATCTAACACCCCTCAGGGGACCACGGAGGTAGAGGGGAACCAGCCAGTCAGTGTGAGGGAGTCAGCAAGTCAGAAAGGTTTCTCATGCTCTTTGTGATCCCAAGTCACTTCCTGTCTAATGTCTTCATTTTCTTCCATTATTTCTCAAGAACACAGGCTGGTGGAAATCATTCATTGCATGCCTTCTTTAAGTTCCTGTTTCCCTGCTGGGCATGCGCTCATGTTTTATTCATTAGCGTAACTCTAGCATCTAGCACAGCACCTAACACCTACTGGGCATCCAACAAATGTTTGGCTGAATACTAACTCAGTTTAATATAGGCAAAAAAGCATTAGGAACATAGACATTAAACAACTCTGATTTGAGCTAAAAATAAGACTTGTCTAAAACGATCCTAAATCTTGACGCGCCTTAGATACAGTAAATGTTGCTGATAAGTGCCGTTGAGTTGATTCTGACGCAGAGAGCCACACAGAACTTCAAAAGAGCAGTTGGTGGTTTTGAACTGCCAACGACTTTGTGGTTTGCAGTCCAGTGCTGACCCTACAGTGCCACGATACAAAACGCAGCTTCACTGTCCTACCCAAAAGGCCTGCTGATTTCACTTACCTTGAGAGACTCATAATGGTCCTGTCTAATATCTTCATATTCTTCCATGATTTCCTCAAAATATTCACCCTTCAGATTTTCATCTAATAGTTGAGAACACTGAAAATGCAAGAGAAGACTCAATAATCACAGAGCAGCAAAACCGGATAAATGACGTGTAATCGCGGGCAGTTTGGACGGCCCCCTTCAGAAAGCCCACCACCACTTCCCTTCTCTGTCAACTCCTGCCTGGGTTAGGTACATTCCTTCAACGTGCCAAAGTGTGTGTGCCTCTTTACTGCTGCACATACTACAGCCACTGTCCTTCCCTGGAGGGTGGGCACGAGATACTAGAGGGGAACCCTGTCACAGCCCTGGTGCTGGCTCAGGGATGGCACATTGGTGGTTGTGTCCACTGAGTATCTGCTGAAGGCATTAGGCTCATCTTTATTATCAAAGGTCCTAAGGCTCAGGAAATGCGCTCCTCTGTTCAAATGAAACAAGGTGCCAATTTGTTTGAGAAATCGGAGGTGACTTGGTAGGATGTACAACCAATCCCAAAGCAAGACTGCTTAGGGTTCTGCCCATCTAGGTGGCAGATAATGGGCAGCCATGACAGTAACGAGGTATGCCTTAAAATGCCGGATCCATCGAAAAATCTGTTGTTTGATGTGGAGCATCATGCCAGTAACAGTTTGGAAAGCGTCAGTGATTTGGGAAGGTGTCTACTTGTGTTTTGTCAGAATTTTTACTTTAATCTGACCTCAGTATAACCACAGAGACATTTTCAAATACATTTTCTTTAGAATAAACCCTTTTATGTATGAACTCAAACCCTAGTTCCGACATTTTTTTTATTTTTTATTTTTAAGGTTTTTATTGTGGATTGAGTGAAAGTTTTCAGGGCACATCATCAGTTTCACATTCAAACATTCATATACCTTGTTTCATTACATTGATTATAATCCCCTCCACATACCATCAGTTAACAGAGTTTCTCTATATCCTCTTTAGTT